TATATTTCTCAAAATTTGGGCATTACACAGGCCGTCTCTGGAATAAGAACTAGGAGGAAGCATGAAGACCGACAAAAGTTGTTGAACATAAATTAAAAAGGTGAAAGCTAGATTGATTCGAATTAAATTTGGGTTTTTAGGTAATCCCAAAACTGATGGGTCAATTTTGGGTCAAGTTTGAGTTTTTGCGTCAGCCAGCCCAAAAACCAGGATTCTAAACTCGAACCTAACTTGAAAGTTAATTAAGTCAACCCCAACTAGGATTTTTCAAGTTTTATCTGAGTTGAATCGTTATGTCTGGTCATTTATTAACACTTACAGGATGAGCAGGTGAGTCACATCCACGGGCACTTGAAGCATTGATCACACAAGCAAACCAATAAAGGATACCAAAAAAGGCATGCACATGATAACTAACCACATAGAACTGAGAGCAGGTAAACATTATTAAACAAAATTGACTTTGGGCCAAAGCACTGAACAAGGTTTTAATCAAGCAAGCAATGCAACGTGCGTGCCCACTAGAGGTAAAGTTGCCCTCTATTCGAGCAATGCCAGCTTGAATGAGAATTCTATGAAAGATATCTGGTAGGAGTGGAGGATGCTCAGGTGGGGTGAGTTTGAGTGTGCTAAAAGCGCGGCTGCTTATCGTCCCATAAGAGATACGTTCATGTCCTGATTGTTGATCCTTAGCCTGACAAAAAAGATCACGCTTTCAGTCAAAAGGGTGGAATAAAGTTATGAGTGTCATCCTTGAAACAACCAAAGATTGCTATTGAAATTTTCGAGGAACTAGAGAATAAGTAGGCTTGATTGAGAATATGTACTGCAACAAATTCTGTCCTTTAGTTTCTAGTTTCTTTACCTTCTCTTTATGCATATTTTTTCTTACAATATTTATGATGTGGTGTTCTCACACCCTGGTTTCTTTACTGATGAATTGGTTGATGGTGAAGCATGTTTTTGATTAAATTTACTTCCAAAACAATAAATTCTCCTCATGAGGTTGTGCAAATAAGGCAATAATAGTCATCTAACCATCTTAAAGCTCGCATATCTTTACCTACTTGATTAGCACTTAAATGCAAAGAAAATTAAGGCTTGGAAATGATTCTTATAACTTTCTTCAACCTATACTTAAGGGTGGAAATTAATACTTCTCTTCCATTTGCATTTTTTCTATTGGGTTTATTAATCGTATATGCATTTGTAACCAGCAAAATGCCTATTAGAATTATTTAGTGCTACAGTCGAACAATATTCTTGTATAGAAAAAAAAAAAGGTATTATTTGCTAACCCAAATGAATATATATATCCATGCCCAAATTCCCATTCCAGTATAGCATAGGTAGGGATCAAAGCTAAAAATTTGAAAATAACTTTCAAGAGCCTTATCAACTGGAGCAGGTCGAACACACTTATATATGAGTTCCTGAACATGTAAAGTATCCTTAAAGAATGAAGCTACTAATGAAATATTTTATAAATAGCTGAATATGGTTTATTGATGACATATTCAATGACAAAGTTATAATCCATGTAAAAAAAGGCTTATTATTTTCATTTTTCTTATAGGTTTCTCTAAGAAAAAATTGACTTCCATTTAATTTAAAGTATTGAGCAATATGAGATATATATATGATAATCAACTCCAT